ATAGCATGACCCCATACTGAAATTTGGAGCTTTGTCCTCAAGATTAACGGCCTTGCAATCATCTGCTACCGTTTAATTAATGACTCGGTCATGCCATTCTGTGTATGAACATGGGGCACTGGATGTTCTACATCAATCCCCACTGACATACAATAATCATTAAAGGCTTGCGATGTAAATTCACCAGCATTATCAAGCCTTACTTTCTTAATGGCATATCCTGAAAACTGCGTTCTCAGAATTATTATTTGGGCAATGAACTTTGCGAAAGCCGTATTTCGTGTTGTCAAAAGACACACATTTGACCATCTACTAGATGCGTCAATCAATACCATGAAATACTTAAACGGCCCGCATGGTGGGTGGATCGGCCCACATATATCACCATGTATTCTTTCTAAAAACATTGGTGATTCATTGTCTACTTTTTCTGGTGAGGGCTGAGTTATAAGTTTTCCTTGAGAACATGCTTTACATGTAAACACTCGCCCGTCTGCAAAATTCTTCCATTTTTCAACGGATGGCCATTTGAATTTTGCACTATTTTTCTCATCATGACTGAACTAGGATGTCCTAGCCTCTCATGCCAGATTTTAAATGTATCAGTAAACTTCATGTTTACCACAGCATAGGATTCAGTCATGTGTATTCTTATACAATATAGTCCAGAGGATAACATTTTTAACTCTTCCAATATATGTTTCCTCTCGGATTTAATGCAAAGAAATTCAATGCCATCTTTACACATAGTCTCAATATGGTATCCATTTCTTCGGATATCCTTGAAACTTAACAAGTTTCTATTAAACTCGGGGTAGTATAATGCATTACTTATTTCAAATATCGTCCCCCTTGGCATTGAAAATTTCACTCTTCCAGAGCCCATTATTTGCATTACCAGATATTGTACTTACGCTTCCAGTGTAATCTTTTATTTTGAGTCTGGAGAAATATTTATTATCTTTGATTATCGTGTGCGTTGTAGCACTATCTGCCAAACACATATCTCCATTCATAGTCTCAAAGTTTGGATTTCTTTCTGAAAATATGTATTATTAAACTTATATCATATAACATAAAACATGCATTATTAAACAAGAAACATAACATATATCTTACAACAAAAGATATAGATACTATAATACAATAAACTTCTATCACATCAATCTTATATTACTCATCGATATTTTCTGGTTCAACCAAAAAGTCTGATACGTCGAGATGAGTATCATCATTTAAACCATGAAAGGATGGTCCGGGTTCATCAGAGATGAAGTTTGTTTCACCTCCTTTATCTTTTCTCTTTTGAGAATCTTTTTACAGATCGGCTAAATGTTTTGGCGTACGGCAAACATGTGCCCAATGCCCTTTCATACCGCATCTGTAGCAAACTCCTGTTTGCTTTTTATCATCCCGGCCCCTTTCACTTTTTTTTTCATTTTCGTGGAAATCTTTATTATTTCTTTTATCATATGGACGGAATCTTCTTCCTCGTCCTCTTCCACGACCATGATAACGGTTTCGACCGCGTCCACGACCTCGTCCTCTCGAATTATCATAACTGGATGATGGAACATTCGCTTCAGGGAATGGAGCAGATCCAGTGGGACGAGCTTGATGGTTTAAAGTCACGAGTTGATTATTCTCCTCCGCTACAAGGAGGACTTGCATCAACTCCGAGTAACGGGTATATCCACTCGCCCGGTATTGTTGCTGCAGGACTATATTTCCAGGATGGAACGTGGAGAGATTTTTCTCGATCATATCATAATCACTTATTTTCTCTCCACATAACATCATCCTAGATGTATTTCCGAACATAGCGGAATTAAACTCACTAACACTTTTATAGTCCTGGAACCGGAGATGGATCCACTCGTGTTTAGCTTTTGGTAAGATCACATATTTCTGGTGATCGAACCTCTCTTTTAAAGATTGCGAGAGGTCCAAAGGTTCCTCTTTCGTAATATATTCATATTTTAAACCATCATGTATGTGGTGTCGTAAAAATATCATGGCTTTAGCCTTTTTCTCATCCGACACCGTTTTTGTATTATTGATGGTTTACAAAATCCTGTTTCCTCTCAGGTGCATTTTTGCACCCACTGCTCAGGTCATATAATTATTTCCCGTAATATCCAGGGCATTTATTTCGAGCTTTGTCAGATTCGACATGATAACTGTATTAATAGAATAATAATTTAAAAATATAATAAAGACGAGAATTTAAATGCATAATTTAAATGCAGAAATTAAAGGCATACAATAAAGGCATAAATTAAATTGCATAAATTTAAATCGCAGAAATTTAAAAGCATAAATAAAATTGGAGGTTTAGCCTTCCAAATGATCCGAGGAGACATAGTCTACCATGTTGATCACTTTTATCAAGGTTTGAGGAGACATAGTCTACCATGTTAACCTTTTCTTTTTATTCAAGGTCCGAGGAGACTTAATCTACCATTTTTGACCTTTCATTTTTATTAAAGATCCGAGGTGACATAGTCATCCATTTTGATCTTTTTATTCACGGAGGCAAAGCCTATCACGTGTTTCTCTGATCGTGACGGCATAGCCATCTTATCGATCAGTCGGGGAAGGCAACGCCTATCATCCCGAAAAATAAACGGAGAAGGCCTAGCCTCTTACTCCGAAACAANAGATCCGAGGTGACATAGTCATCCATTTTGATCTTTTTATTCACGGAGGCAAAGCCTATCACGTGTTTCTCTGATCGTGACGGCATAGCCATCTTATCGATCAGTCGGGGAAGGCAACGCCTATCATCCCGAAAAATAAACGGAGAAGGCCTAGCCTCTTACTCCGAAACAATAATAAAATTACAATAATAAAAATTATTGAAATACATAAATTAAACATTACCTCACCGGTATAACCTTATTTGATATATGATTAGTGCTTCGTGCTGATGACGTGTTATAAATTATAAAAAGGTGATGAGAGAGAAAGATAAGTAAATGAGTGAGACTTGTGTTTTTTATTTCATTCGAATCACACTTACAAGAGTACATGCCCCTATTTATAGTATGATTTAGTAGGTCATACTCAGATATTTATGAGGAAAAATACATATAATAATATGTCAAGTCGGTTAAGTTTGCCAAGAGGATAATCATCTCATTAGATATTATTTAACAGAAACTGCTTACATAGATTTGTCCAAAACCATATATAGGTAACAACTAACAACTAACAACCTGCGTATATTCACAAATATGCATTTCTATCATGTTTGATAAAATACTTCTATTAGTTATCTATTAGAAAAGGGATCAGCTGTGTTACCAAAACCAAAAGATAAGCATATCTGATTTGATTATCAATATTTTTAACCATATCTTCAAAATTACACTCTATTTTTAAGTTTGCAAAATATCATATTTTACGTTTGTGATGTTTTTCTTCAAAAAAATTAAAACTTTAAACGTAAAGGCACATTTTTAATTTTAGAGTCAAAGCTAAAAATCTAAAACCAAAATTGTAGAGCAAAAAAATATAAAGGCACAATTTAATTTTTGTTCAAAAACGCGGCCGCCTAAGCGGCCGATTAGGCGCTACTCAAACACCTCTCGCCACAATTTTGACCTAATCGGACAACAAAATCGGCCATCAATTATTCAGCCCATTAAATGGATTAGTCGGCCCAATTACCGCGTAATCAGCCCAATTACCACATAATCGGCCGATTAGATAGGCTTAAATATTTAGTTATGAAAGAATATGTTGGGATCTAGAGGTATCCCGAAACCCAATTACCTTATCCTTCCTTTTAGTATATGAACTCTATATATAGAGAAAGATTTTACTTTTCTTTTCCTATATAACTGATGTGAGACTATGGACTTTTGTACATTAATACGCCAAAATGATTAAAATCGAACGTGGGCTGCTCGGTGTAAAAATATGGGACTTAGCCACTAAGAAACGATAGATATTAGGCAACAATACGCAGAAGTTAATATATACGCGTATATTCATATAATAAAATTCAAAACTAATCAAATTAATTTGTTCAACCAATAAATATAAATTTCAATGATAAAATACAAAATAACTATTACATTATCATATTTTTATATTTTATATTTTATTTAAATATTAAAATAAAATAAAATAATAATTAAATTAACCCCGCGTATACCCGGCTTAACTCTTAATTTTTTGGTAATTCGCTAGGTCTGGTGTCGCCGCCCGACTAGCGTGACGTAATTTCGAACATGGGTTTCAACATAAAACATAAACCCTTCATTTTCACCTAGGATGCTGCTGGATCTTCAGTTGAAACCTTCCTTCAGTATCCACCAGAATCTTGGAATATACATCGGAAATGAAGATAGTGTTGGTAATTCGCTAGGTTCGGCTCTCTTTAACAAAAAACAAAAAAAAAAATGGTTCGGGTCGTCACAATTTGGGAATGTCATCATGGCAATCCTTTAGTCAATGTTACTACATTGCCACTTCCACCTCCACCTCGTGTGATTGATTCCACATGGACCAGTGACACCATTAGAGGAGCACCAATGCCTACAATCCAGCAGCCACTGAAAACTAATCCACAAATGACGGTCAACAATTGTTTACTATACTCTGGCAAGTGACTGAACTGCTTTCACCGATAGCCCACTTTTAGGCGCTACTATACTGAAGCAAACGAATGTTTTCTTTTTTCAGTGGACGTGTCCCTTGCAGGCATTTAACATTTCTTAAGTGTTAGGCCAAACCTGTAATAAAGAAGAGAATATATACTACCAATATTGATTCATGTGCGACTCTCTTCATCTCCCAAACCTCGTTCCAAATAAAGATGGAGCTTTTGTTTTATGTCGAAGATAACAAAAAGATTATGTCTGATTCATAACCAAACTCATCAAACATACAAATCTGTGTCTAAATGCTAGGCCTGGTAGATACTTATTATCTATGGTTTTATTTCTCATGGAGGATACTTCGTCTAGAGATCTGTCTGTTCTTCCCCCTCTCTAGTGGCTGGTTTCATGTTCGCCCTCCAAATCTTTCAAGTATCCCATGAACATAAGAAACCCGAAAAGGAAGAATCCACCTGAGAAGCTCTCTCCACCGCCTCCTCCGCCACCACCACCACCATCATCCCGAGGTGGGAACCCGCTTCCACCATCATCAAGGTTTGGGGATTTCTCCTTTCCTGATGTCCAATCAAATTAAAAGGCTTTATTTAGACTTTTTTTTTTAATATATATATATATATATTTATCAATCCCGAAAGGGCATACTAGAAGAGAAAATCTATATATTTATTTAGACTTCAGTTCTGGAGATGCATACTAGAAGAGAAAATCTACTAGTCACAGTCAGGAACAGTCGGTTACTGTTAACCTTCCCATCAGGTTATCAACAAGAATGAATCATGCCACAGTTTGTGTTGTAAATAACTGTTTGATCATTAGCTAGATTCATAAAACAGATCATATTAGCCTAAACTTTATTGTTCTGTTAGAAACATAAAACAAGTTTATTCCACCTGTAACAAGTGAACAAAGAGAAGGAAGAATGCAGCAACTTTACCATGTATAGGAGCTTGAGTGATTGTTGGTGATTCCCTCGTAACAGTCTGTGTTTGTCCTTGGCTGCATTTTGCATTCTGCAGAAACAAATTAAATCAGACCAAGTAAAAACAGATAGCTCTTCAGAGATGGTGTTTTGATGAGAAGAGTTAAAAAAACACACTTGTAACTAGCGGATAGAACCTACCAGCGCAGCGTTACAGGCAAAGACAGATCTTGTGCTCTTAGAGCCTAAACCCAATCCTTTCATAACAACGACTCCTGTACTTGCAAGTGGCTTGAGAGAATGAAATTTTCCTATCACATATAAGACGAGTAGAAGAAGAGCTTTATTAACCACTTGAAGATCAAAAAGGCTTGAGCAATCTCACAAAGCAATGATCTTAACTGGTACAACATTAGGTGATCAAAATAAAAACAACTTCAATTTATTCATGAGCAAGCCAAGACACAACATCAAAACACAAGACAAAACAGCTACCTTAGTGCCTATAATTTAATAAACAAAGATGAATCAAAAGAGCAAATCCAGAAGTGTGAAAATGTGTGATGTTTTACAAAGAAGAATCGAAAAGTAAAGATGATACCATTAGCGGGAAAGTGAGAAGAGCGAGGAGGGAGGTGCACCAATGGTTGTGCACCCATACATAACGAGGGATTCATCACCGGCATATTCTGCAAAACAAAGGGATAAACAATCAAAGCCAAAATATTGAACCTTTAGTTACTAAACCCAACACAAAAGAAAAAAAGAGGCACCGATAAAACTCGGATTCATCACTTTTTTCGATTAATATGTGCCCATAAAGATTTGCATCAAAGAATCAGCGAAAGAAAAATCTGGGAGTTGGATCATTCAGCTTCTCGATCATTGAGGAAGAAAAGCAAGTACCTTTAAGAGAGAGATGGCACCTGAAGAATTAAACACGTAGAAGAATGACTTTTCTAGGGTTTATGTGAAATTTATCAATTAGTAGGTCGGTTTTTTGAACAAACTGATATTTTTGTTACTGTTATGAGATTTCATTGATAATGCCCACCAAATGGGCTTTTACAAGAAGATCATTCATTATAGTCCTGACTGCACTTCCTATTTTACAACCCAAAATTTAAATTAAAACCCATAGCTTTTTCATTTTGAGTAATTGCATTGCACACACAAAGGAAGATCGGGTAATTAGCTATATACCCTATCCTTGTCGTTTTGTGATAATCCTGGTTGATATCTTTACCATTTTACCCCTATGTCATAGTGTTAATAATGTTCAACTTTGGTTGTATCGATCACCTATTATAGCTTATTGTTTTCTTCGTTTATCTCATTACTTACGAAACCGAAACATCTGTCAGACAAGTAGAACCTCACCACTTACATAATTTTAAATTTAGAAAAACATTTTCGTAACGTTTCGATCGAGGTATTGTAAAGACACACCCTTTCACTTCTTATAAGTGTTTCTTCGCCGATAAAAAATCATAGACTTCTTCTCTTTTTTTCTTCTCAAAGTCGTTTGTGCTCAATATTTTTCTAAATGGAGTCAACCGCCGGCGATCCTCCTCCACCATCCTTCCCCGAAAGAATGTTTGCGTTGGGGGAAGAACCAATGAGCATTAGGTTAACTCCCTATCACAAACCATCATGTATTTCAAAGATTATCAACGCCTTAGTAGAAGAAGAAGCCAATTTCATAAGGGAATCTGCATTTGGGAAACTCTTAGAAATCGCCGAGAAACCTTCCTTCTCCGGACGTGTTGGCCGATTCTTGTTTTCACGCCTTTTGAAGTACGAGGCGTGGTTTCTATTTGCCGGAAAACCAATTAGATTCTCATTGAGAGAATTCACACTAGTGACTGGCCTCAATTGTCGTCCATATCCACCGAATACGAAGAAGAGAAGCAAGAAGTTCTTATCGGAGACGCCTTACTGGGGAGAGCTTTTCGGAACCTGGACTGAAGTCCCGGTGACTTCTGTTGTTTCAATGCTGAAAAACAAGACGGTTACTGACAGAGGAATGAGGATAAAGTACGCACTACTCGCTCTGCTCTCTGCCGTAGTCCTTCCTACGTCTCACAGACCCCGTATATTACATTCCGCCGCTGAGATGATCAGAGATCTTGATAAGTTCCTTGCTTATCCATGGGGCCGTGCATCTTTCGATGTGCTGATGAGCAATATCAAAGAGAGAGATGAAGTATCGTTATCACAGAATACGATTGCGTTCAAAGGTTTTGTGATGGCAATCCAGCTTGTCCTTATAGAAGCCGTTCCTTCTCTATTGGGTGTTGTAAGAGAAGGAGATTCGTATGGTTCAGAAGCAGACTCAGAAGACGACGAGGAGTCAGCAGTTTTTGATAGGGAAGGCAAGAAAAGCATCAACACAGGGCTTATACGTTCCATTGATTCTGCTGGAAAGGTATCTCTCTTCACGTTTCATGGCTCTATGTTTTTTAATAACTCCGGGTGCAAATATTGATGGTTCTTGTTTCTCATTCGCGTTACTTATTAGCGTTGATAAACATATTAGGAGCATATACACAAAATAGATTAGCAGGCTAAACAATATCCAATTAATAACAACATATTTTTGTGTGTGATTTCTTGTGATTTCCCTGTATACCTGATGTTCACCAAATTTTTATAGGTAAGAGTCGTTTCCATTATATTTGATGGTGCTGAACTACGCAACTGGGAGCCAAACGCGGGTTGTGACGACGAGGAAGATGTTCTCGTTAACAATATTGTGAGAGCAGTTCGTGAAGGATATGAATTCTCGAACTCAAATTTCAAAGGTGGTGCGACCAAATCTGATGTTTGTCGTATGCGTGACGAAGCTATCAAAGCTAACAGGAATCGTAATGAAGCAACTGCTCGTCAGAAACAACCTGTCACGGAAGGGATAGATGCAGAGTATGTAGCTTCTATTGTGGCAAACAGGGTATCTGCAGATATATCCAAAATGGATGATAAAATAAAAGACATTTCTCTGTCTCTACGCAACTCGCAAGAGAAATTTCAGAAAAAAGATGTAAGATCTTATCAGAAGATCCTTGAAGGAAATCACAGACTCTATTACCAATTCTTGCACCCGCCCTCACGCTCAACAGCCTGACCATACTGAACAAGACAACACTGGGGCACAGACATCCTCATTTGCTGCGGCCGACATCATTGAAGAAGCTCTCCGATTGGCTAACAAGGAGACAACCCATACATGTGAAGTAAGTTTGTTAATAATTGTTAGCTGTCTAACATTTTTTTGCCTATCAATGTCATTGTGTTATAGATAATCGGCTTTCGCTTTTACCATTTTGTCTACCAAACAAACTGCTCCCTTTTTTAAGTAGTTCCCAATTGTCATTGTTTTTTCTTTGTTCACTGTTTCAAGAGTCAAATGAAGCGTACATGACCGACGACGTGGCTCACGGCGTCGGTGGACGTGGGGATGGTCACGAGACTGTATTAAACCGCGAAATTGCAGAGGAAGACACTGTAATTAAGCGAAGTTTCATATTTGTTTAGTCCTGCTAATCACCATGCGTGCATATACATTAGCATTCTGTAGCAAACCAACAACTCTTCACTACATACATTATGTTTCAACCTCTTTTGTCTTACAATGTACAGGTTGAACCCGTTGTTCTTCCTACTATTAACACGTCTGAAAGAAGTATTGAGCCCCCTCCTGACGTCGAGAAAGCAAATCAGGTTTTTTTGCCTTGTTTAATTTAGTGTGTAGCTATAGAACTTCAGTTTCATCTACTTGACAGTTGTGCATGCTTTCATATGTAGGAAACCTTTGGAAATGGCCTCTCATTTCCGGACCCCTCCTTCTCTATTGGTCTCACTCAACTTAACAAAGAAAATGCTCAAACTGTGGATCATGTACCACACGAAGACAACGATGAGTCATTACAGGAAGGCGATGTCGATGACGAAGGTCCTATACTTAACCGTAAGTGCAAGAGAAGTAAAGTTGTGCCAAGGAACCTTGTTGGTGATTATCAGTGTGATAGAGGGATCCTCGCTCGCGCCTGGGAATCGTACATTAACGCGATATGCAGCACACTAAGCATTGACTACGCCACCAAATTTTTGAATCTGCTTGAGTTACTCGGTGGATCTAAAGTGTAAGTGAAGTTATATTACATGCTAACTAAAAAATTATCTCCGCTATTTTTTTTTCAAATCCTGTAAATTTATGACTCGATCGCAAGTAATATATTTTATTAGCAGTGTTATAGATATTGGTGGCGCAATTCTCCAATCCAGCGATCTCTCTGCAATTGTTGATAGGTCTTCCCATTTAACTCCTAAAGTACATCTGTTGAACCTCACTTAATATGTTCTTATACCAGTGCCTACTTGTGACATTTAATTCATCTTTTTCTTTTCGATTTGGAAAAATGTTGGATGTCCTCATTCACCACACACGTTCTGTGTTTCTAGCTAATTCAGATCACATGCATTCGACGAATTCTGTTTTCCTGGACACCAAGTTCTTGTCACTCCTTTCCAAGTCATTTAGCAAGTTCTCAAAGGCGGTTAAGAAAGACAAAGTCTGTTTCCCAGCAGCTTTGTGCTCTCTTTTGGCTGGTGACTGCCCAATCACGGAAGTTAGTCGATTTTATTTCCCCTTCAACTTCGACAAACAACATTGGGTCGGAGTGTGTGTCGACGTCTCTCTATCTCAGGTTATTGTGCTTGACTGCAACACATCTTTGAAGACGGACACAACGGTGGCATCAGACCTTCGACCCATTACACAAATGTTCCCCTATATTCTTAAGCAAGCCGGAAGACAGCTGACAGCCAAAGAGATGAAGCCTCTTAACCTTGATAGGCCACGAGCCGTGCCTCAGAACATGAATCTTTTCGAGTCCGGTGTCACCACTTTGGTGCTAATACAGGCTCATGCGTTTGGTGGTGTTGATGTATGCAAATGTATCACTCCGGAAGTTCTCGACACGGAGGTACAACGGATTGCGGTTATGATGTACGAAGAAAATGTAGCACCCCTGTGATGTAGTGTTCGTGTCTCCCTTAACTCCCTTGTTTTAATCATGCTTTTGTTGTCATGGTATTTTTTATTTGTTTCAGCATGTTAACTCGGTTGAGTATATGTTTTCTTTTGGATTTTATGGATGTGTTTATTTTGGGCTTGTTCTCAAATTCCTATTAGCAAAGTATGATCAAGTGGTTTTAGTAAGCGTGCTAACACAACATGTATCACTGTCTGATATAGTGATTCTGTACAATTAAGTGAACAAGATATTCCTTTTAAGTGCATTAGTTGATTGACGATACCTAAATAACCAAAGAGCTCATTGTGTTTTAAGAGACCTAAATAACCAAAGACCTCATTGTTTATTATGATTTGGTTATCTTGGTGAGTGAATGTATTATGAGTGAATTTGCCCATAATCCTATAAGAGTGAATTTGTAGGGCTTACAATACTATATCTTGTTGCTGTTAACACAGCCGAATGTTTACATTGTTCTTCATTTGCAGTAAATTAAGTTAGCCGGATAACAATTTTGCGTTGACGTATTGTACAGTAAATGAATTGGGCCCAATATTAAGTTTGTGGATGTCCGGACCATTTGGACCCTCTTTATTGTTGTTTTTCTCCACATTGGAGCTTTCTTGTCTTACTTTACCCTAGTCGCCGCCGAGCTAAAAGGGTTGACGAACCTATCAAAGAGCAGCTCGTCGTCGCAAGGCGGTAATCAAAATTTTCCTTTAAACTGGTCTGTTGCCTTCCATCTCTGATAATGTATTTTGCATTGTCTGGCTAACAGTAGCTGCCGTAATCGCGGAGCAGAAAGAAGCAGGGGGATTCCGACACATTGTAGATGCGGTGAGGTAGTTGTTATCAGGACTTCCGGCACCGTCAAAAACCCTGGGAGGCTGTTCTACTGTTGTCCCCTTGGATCTGAAGGGGTAACATTTCTTTAATTTTGTTTTCTTATTTGACCCATTCTACTTTTTTTTTGCAAATATTATATTATGTTCTAGGAAAAATATCATCTTTTTACATGGATCGACGAACGTATTGTCGAAGAAGTGGAGGATCTGAAGTTGTTCTTGTGTGATTTGAAAGAGGATGTATCGGAAACGAGAATG